AAGGTGTGCCATATCTCTCCTCAGTGAATGGGAGATTACCTATTCACTACAAACTCCAAAGTCCCTTTTCTGATACTACAGCTTTATGCAATACCTGAAAAGTTATCACAAGAAGGTCACAATCTGCTCTCTTTTATTCCATATTCTATATAAAATATATATTTAAGTTACACAAAGGTTCATTCTGATTGAGTGTTTGGGAAGAAGGATCTTTATTTGAGCATAAACCACTTATCTAGAGAAGAGAGAAGTGTTCAAGAAACTATAGCCTTCTATTGGGATTGCTGTTTGTTTCTATGTTTCTATAGAGTCAAAGGGAGATATTGTCTCTTACAATTCTATGTTTCTGCATCTCACTAAAAGTAAGTTCGGTGAGATTTATCATCAGCTTATAAATTTGTCTAACATTGAAGCCTTAACCACATGTGTATCTTTTAGAATTTGAACTGAAATAGTAATTTGAATTATTATGTTACCCTACTGAATATTTTGGAAAATGTGCTAAGTGAAACACAAAATAAAATACATTTTAGTTTATTCCTTTTTGTAAAAGAAAAGTTTGTTGCCTTTTAAATTTTCTAAATTAGTCTATTCATATATCTTTAATTCATTGTTAAAATGGATATGCTATCATTATAAATAACCTAACAAGTCAACTCAAAGATCTAATGTTTAAACTTCACTTTTTTGGGGGGTGGAAATCTGTTGATATCATGAAAAACCTGCTGTCATCAAGCAGGCAAATAGTAATTGTATTTTGGATCCAGGACATGTTTAATATGTTTATTGTAGATTTTAAGAAACATTCTTTTTCTCTTCTGCATATGTGTAATTTCAAGTATATTTCAATTTTACTTTTTTTATACTTGTGTTGCTAACTGTCCAGTTTTTCTGAGTGCTTTGAGTTTAAATGATACCAGAAAAAGGAAGCTATTGGATTCTTTAAGAATATCTCTTTGGTTTTGTGTCGTCTTTGTAATTTATATCCTTTTAAAGCCCAGGGCTAGTGGGACAAGGTCAAGTGGTATTAAGTTTTCTGTAATGTCTTTTGTTTTTCTGGTTTGAATTTTCCTTTAAAAGAAAAAAGAAAAGGACAAAGACCGCCAGTGAAAAGGAAACTATAGAGCGTACAATGTGAATTTTATATTAAAACAACAGGTTAACTATTGAATTTTCTACATCATACTACTCTAAATGCCATTATAAAACATAATATATAGTGTAAAATTTACCAAGCAGATAGTTACTCAAATAAAGTTATTCTATTTTGCCTTAGACTATAATTTTACTGTATAGACAATACTTATTTTACAAATGAGTAGCACACTTACCATAAAATATGTTTGAATAGTGATTAGGAACACCATCAAATCAAAATTTGAGTTGTCAGCTGCCAAACTGATCAAGTAATTAAGCCTCTATAATTCATGATAGCCATAATTTAAGTTTTTAGTAATGGATGTGCTTCATTAAACAATTTGCTGAGCATTACTGTTAATTGTTATGCCCCAAATTATAAAGTATTAATCTCCAGTTTTTAACTCTGGTAAAGTAAACATAACATTTGGAAAGAAAGGATAAATTGACCTGTATCTCAAACATCTCACAAATATTGCCTTGCAATCTATCCTCTACAAAAACCTTCCATCTTCCATAATTACAGTTTTCCATTTGTATTAGTTTTTCTCTTTACAAATTTGGGAAATGTAGTAACATTTATCAAAACTAAATATCAATTTAAAATAGCAAATCATGATGCAAAGTATTTTGCCTCACCCCCTAGAATCTACTTTCCAGAATTCATTCTATAAGAATTAATTTTAAATATACTTTAAGCAGATAATTCATTGCTGAGTTATTTTTGCTGAGAAAATCAGTGAAGGATTAGCAGAAAATCAAAATGTCAGAAGAAAGTGATTTTAAACTTTATGTATATTCTACAAATTGGAGGTAAGAAAAAGTTGTACCATTTTTAACAAAACTTACTTAGAATAATAGATTAGAGATATTTTTTCCATCACTAAATATTTTCAGTAATTTCTGATCAAACTTCATATATTTGAGATAAACAAATACAGTTTTAATATTTAACACTTGCAGTACTGTTCAGTTACATTTAGAAACAGTAGATAATATGACACCATTGTAGAACAAAGAGAAGCATAAAGACAAAAGGAAATCAAAGATGTGTGATGTTCAATCCAGCTGATTTTCAGTTAATGAATCTCAGTCAGAGACATTGATAAACAAAGAACCCTATATTGTGACACCTAAATAATGACACAATTTAAAAACCCCTCTATATATATTCAGGTTCAATACACCATATTTTCAATTCATTTATTTCATTCTTTTTCCTTCTTTCTTTCTTTTTTTTTTCAAAAATAGTTTTTTGTCACCTTAAAGTTCAAAAATCTTTCAGATAATGAAGAGTAAAATAACAATGCCTAGATTTGGGTTTGGGATGGACAAAAGCAAACACAGAATCCATTTTGAATGTATAATTCATATTATGATTTGCTGTGAGAAATAATCAAGTAACCTGTGGAGGTGTCAGATTGCAAAACTTCAAATGAGAGACTGGCAAAGTGACTGAAGAAGCAATAGATGTCTCTGCTCTTTTTCTTCATCTGCTTTGCAACTTGTTGGAGTAACTGTTCCTTTGAGAAGTTTGTGTTTCCCTATAGTTACAGTTCTCTTCCATAGATTTGTCAAATAAAAATAAATAGTGGTATATAATTTTCTGATGTAGCATTATATATTTTATAGCTATATAGTATTATATTTTTACAGCTATATTAAATTGAGCTGGGCCCCTGTAGACTACACAGATACATCTGTATTAATCATGCTTTAAAGCATCTGCAATGTTTTCTTAGCAAAATATAGAAGCAATCTGACATTTTGTTCTTTGTAAGTTTTCACCTACCCATTCTTCAGCCCTGAAATGCCCTGGTGTTTGCCCATCCAAATACTAATCATGTCTAACCCTATTTGGTTTTTGGGAGACCAATCAGGTACTGCCACCTGTTATGATGCTTTCTTTGTTATCTTCTTTCCTATAGATTGGATTTTAGCATTTATTCATGTTTTATGTGCTCCAGATTTGTAAATGTTGTACTAAGTTTAAACATCTTAAAAGTGTTTTTATCGTGTTGGTAAAAGGGATAGCATTAAGTGCCATAACAAAACTATGTATGTGCCTGCCCAAATTACTTAAATTTTTCTCTATTTTTAGTTGTGGGGAGATGTCTCTTTAGTTTAATTTAGTTATTCAGTCTTGTCATCATCCCTTCAGGTGATCCTGAGCTCAAGCCTTATAGTACATAGATATGGAGATATTTGCTGTAGAACAGATTAAAATATGTATATTTACTCCACCAAAATTTTATTAAATATCTTGGAAATCTATATGTGGGCTAGTAGAAAAAGGTATGTGTGAATGTATGTTTGAGGCCAAAATAATAGAGGCCTCTTGTTGACTGATTATTACTTTTACTAAACATGTATATTGTATAGCTTTTATAATAAATACATTAATTCTTCATTTTGAAGTTTTACAAAGAAAAGCCAAGAGAAAACACAAACTATTTCAAATGAGATTAAAAAGAAAAAATTAAAGAAATCTCCAGGGAAGATAATTTGATGAGATTTGTATAAACAACATGATATTCTGGTTTACCAGACTGTTATGATAAGTGTTTTGAGGATAAATTTGTACAACTTTTGCAAAACATAATGGATCTTATTTTAAGGGTGGAAAGATGCTCGAGACTTAGATGATTCAGAAAGATGCGAATTTAGCATTACTATACAAAGAGGGACAGGATTTGATTATTATAATTATTGACTTATTTTAAATTATTCATAATGATTTCAGTTTATAGTTTGTAAATAATGTTACAAGAACTTTTTCATAAAGATAATATTGATTTTTACCTAAAAATGTTAAAAGACAACATAGAATTGTGCTAGATATTTTAGAATATTTTGAACATCTTAATTGTATGCAAAGAAAACATTGAACAATTTGAATTGTACTTTCTATTCAAACTTTTAGAAGAAATGAATTTTGTAGAGAATTTATAAAATGGCTAAATAAATTTATACTTCACAGTAGACACAAAAAAGCCCTAGTGATCTTAAGAAGTTTAACAATCCTAACACTAAATAATGCTATTATGTCAGAGAAGCCATTTACTCATTTAGTATCAGGAAACCAATCAATAGTATTTGATGAGGTTGGGGTGTTATTTTGTTCAAAAATTTCCCCTGAAGAAAAAGTACATTATTGCAGTATACTTTTATATATGTGTGTGTGTGTCTATTTATTTCTCTGTCTGTCTATTTCTCTATATACACACACATGTGTATATACAGGGAGAGAGAGAAATTCTTATTATATTGACTGGACAATCAGTTGTCTGAAATGGTATAGGTTCTCCTGCTTGAGCAGGGAGGTGGACTAGAAGACCTCCAAGGTCCCTTCCAGCTCTAATCTAGTCTAGTCTAGTCTAATCTAATCTAGTCTATTATTTTTCATCTGGTGGAATTTTTAAAATGGTAACATCAGGAAAGACGTGATATAGAAACCTAAGCAAGGTACTTTGTCAAAGATGTTGCCATTCAAACTAACTCTAACTATCCAAGTAAAATACATCTATTGCAATCCTTGGCATTTTTTTCTAGTTAAGAACTTTTTCCTCTACTTTATGGATCATCTTTATTCATCTCTAAGGAAATCATTCCTTTCTTACTTTGAAAGCCTCATCTCTTATGCAATTGCTGGCACCTTGAAAAAAATGTTACCTTGCTACTTAAAGGAAATGTCCACAATTTAAGGCAGTTAATAAGCAATTTATAAGTTGGTAACAGATGATGAATCATTGCCTGACTTCTAGCTACATTTGGCCTGTTATATGCTAGCGCCTAGAGGGTAGGTGTAGCTGTACCACAAATGTCTATAAAACTCTTGGTTGATTTCTTCTTTTTTCTTCTAGTTTGACACAACTTGTATCTCTTTTTTCGTATGTTTCATTGGAAAAACTAAATATAAGCAACAACTGCTTACTAGGTAAGTTTACAAGATAAATGGGGAAAATATTTGCAGTTTCCAATGCCGCATGATAAACCATATGTGAGTTTGATTACTAACATATATCTCAAAAAAAGGCTAAAAGCTTATTTTTCTCTTCCCATTATATATAAAATTCAGTTTGGCAGTCAGATTCATACATTATTCACTTTTTAACATTGAGCATTCCTGTTAGCTTTAACCATGGTGAAGGTTTATCTTATCGATAGTCCTTAACTTTTTTAATGGCCATTTGAAGTTAAGGCCTTGGAAAGAGGGCTTTGTGGCTGTAAAGCACTTCCAGCCATCTTAAAACATTGTGGTATTACCGCTTCTTGAGCATTTGACAACTGGCTTGCATTTATGATCAACTGCAGCATTCTGCAGTCATGTGATCGTGATTTGTGTTTTTTTATGGTTCTAACAAAAGACATTCATTCAAGAGAATGGATTTGTTAATGACTTAGAGCCACATTATTTCTTCACCACCACCATAGAAACAGTTAACAAATTGGGAAAAAGTCAGGTCTGGTCATGTGAGTGCCTCAACTTATGACCACAATGACTTACAACCAAAAGTCTGGGTCACAGACGTGGCATTCAGCAAGTTCTGACCAGTACAGGAGAACCGGTAGCAGAAATTTTGAGTAGTTCAGAGAACCAGCAAATACCACCTCTGACTGGCCCCACCCCATCTATTCTCTGCCTCCTGAGTCCCAGCTATTCAGCAGGGTCTCCTTTTGTTGTCCTGCACAAGAGAACGGAGCTGGAAAGCAGGTTAGTGGGGTGGGGAGGGAATAGGATTTTACAGTAACCTCCCCTTGCCACACCCACCAAGCCACGCTCATAGAACTGGTAGTAAAAAAAAATTAAATCCCACCATTGCTGGGTTCAGTTGTGATTTTAAGTGAAGGACTACCTGTATTCTATAATGTCTAATATTTATGGTTAAGAGGATTTGAACCAAGGTTTTAATCCTTTTTAACTCTATATTTACTAATAGTCCTTGTATATTGTGAATTATAATTATGTAGATGCAATGTAATCTTGTTTAAGAATATTTTAAAAATGAGAAGAAAGTATTCTGATTATTCCATAATTTAATGGTTTTTTTATTATATACATTTCAAATTTGATGAACGACATGTTAAGGAAAGAGTCTGAAGAGGTAATATTTAGTATTTCAAAGATAAATGGTGTATTCAAAGCATTTATGTACAATTAGGATACCAATAGATTTTTAAAAGGAGACTATTTAATGGAATTTGAAACAGAAAATATACCTAAATTAGGATTAGAACCCTCCAATGTAATTTGTTGCCATTTTCAATTTTGACCAAAGTGGTTCCAATGATTACAATGTTATTAGAATGTAATATAATAAATTAAAATTTAGGGATTTCATTTCATTATCCTTTAAAGAGGATTGAAAGAGTGTTCCCAGACATAAATATTTCACTGTATTCCGTATTTGATAGTTATTTGCTGTGATCCCTGTTAATATATTTATAATTATTGATATTTGTTTTGTCCTTAACAAATGCAGACCTGAAGACTCTCATTCAATGTCTTGAAGGCTGTGATAGCCTAAGGGAACTATCTCTACTTGGAAATCCTCTTCTTCAAGAAGACAACTGGAGGTAAATAGATAAGAGAAACTGGGTATGAGATACATAGAAGTAGGTTTGATCCGGGTTTTCAAACTTTTACAAGTCATGGAACCTATTTGTTAAAAAATAATAACTCTTGGAACCCTTGATCCTCAAAATGGCAGCCATGATTCTTTTTCACAGGAGAATAAGCCCTGCCTTTTCCCCAATACCTTAGAAAAATTGCTCTGGATGCCCCTTGCTGTGTTTGAGTAAACTTTTTTTTCATCCTTAGTCATTCATAAAATCCTATCAAATACTCCTGGAACTTTAAGATTTCACAAAACAGTTTAAATAAAAGGGAAATGGTGAGAAGAAGAGTAAAAGCATGACGATCTGATGTAGCAATAGCCTTTTCATGAAGAGGTTTAGGGTAAAACATAAATTTAAGGTTAAAAATATAATAATCTGTTATGATTGGTTACAGTAATTATCACAAACCAAGCTAGTCTGTTGGATGGAAGAAATATCTGTTGCACTTACTTTTAACTGAAATGAGAATTCCTTAATGACAAATCAGCAGTGTTTAGTGACCATTTTTTCTTATTGATTTCAGTGGGAATGTGTTCATCCTATTTCAGCCTCTAGCCGCATAAAATAGTTCTGAAGAATGTGGCACTGGCCCCATAAAATAGTTCTGAAGTATTAATGAGAGCAGATTAATTCATGTTATTCTTATAACTATAATTTACAATTAGTGGAGATCATTTAGAATTACCAACATATGCAAACTTCAGAAAAGGCAAGGGCTTTGTTTTACATTTGTTTTGTTTGTTAGCTGACGATATTAAATACTTAATGGTAGATTACATGGAATGACTTACATTTTCCCTCTTTAGAAACTACATATGCTTATTATCATTTGCATTCATATTTGTGTTGTTTTGCTTCCATACTAATTATTTTTTATTATTTTCCCTTAATAAGAAAATTGGAACAACTTATGTTTGATCTGTGCTTTGATTAGGAGGATATTTTAAACAAATTAAGTTCAAATTGTATGAAATATGTATAACAAAATTTAATTTCTATTAGATTTCTATACATTTATTTAGTTTTGTTTCCTAAGCTTTTTAAAGAATCCCATTTCAATCATATTTTCCATATTCAATCCATTGATTTATTCAGTTAGGTGTTTTCTTTTCAGTTGTACTTAATATGCATCTAAGCTTTGTTAATACATTCATAATAGTTTCACTCTCCTATATTTAAATTTACTTTAGCTCATTCTGAACTGATAGCTGTTCAACATTATTTTGGATTGGAATAATCATACATTTGTCTTCTTCAACATTTCATATTTATTTTCTTCCTTTGTGGTTTTTTTTTGGGGGGGGGCAGGCAGGGGGAGGATGCTATGCTAATTGTAGAAGGTAGAAAATGGGAAGTAAAAATCCAACTCATTTTGAGTTTTTAAAGCCTTAGAACTTCCATTTCTGTTTTGCTACAACAGTACCTTCTTTTGTATTGATTCTGTCCAGTCCAGTATTAACTAGTAAGATTGAAATATAAATTGTCAGATGTCAGATAATTAGCAGCCTTAAGTACTCTACAAATTGTATTTAAGTGGAAGCATTAGTAATCATAGATAGAATCTATTTTTAATAATTTGCCGTGTATTCAGTTCCTGTTTATTTTCATTTTCATTTCTCAAATAATTCAAAGTGGGTTTTTTTGCAGCTGGATTGGTCTTCTGCCATTTTCCTCATTTAGCTTTACAGTTTGTTTATACTTATGCTTCCAAACTTTTTGGATTATTTTTCCATTATCTCTTTTCCCCATTGAGCTTGGCTAACATAGTTTTCTATTTTTCTAAATCTGTTTTTCTAAACTTAGTCATTTTAGCTGTGCATATGTGCTTAGGAATTTCATTATTGATTGCAAAGTTAAAAAAATATTAAATAGAGCTTGAAAGCCTTTAAACCATGAGATCAAAAATCCTTCTCCATTAAATACTGCTAATTTCTTGCAAGTAACAAAAGAGAAATAGGTTTTTTTTTTAAAAAAATGGTGTATTCTTAGTTTGATGTATTCTTAATTGGTGTATAATTGCTATTCTACCTAAATTCAGTTTAAAATAACTCTTGAAATTCCAGAGTCATCAAAATCCTCCCATGCTGCTTGGCCATTTGAGCTTTCATGATCAGAGAAAGATTAATTTATCTAATGGGATACTATAAAGTATGGATTTGTTGAATTCAGCATTGACAATAACTGCAAGCAATATGTTTCAATGAACTTTACATAACCCCCGATACCAACAAAGGAATTACTTATAAAAGTTCCCAATTGGTTTCTTACTTTCATGTCCAGCCAGTGATAACACTGAAGAAGCTGAAGTACTGAGAAATCACTTTTTGGAAATTAAACCCTAAGATCTGTTTGAGCATTCCTCGAGGGAATATGTTTCATTGCAATAATGATTAATAGAACCTCTTAAGTGACAGAATATTCACCAGGAAGTTTTCACTAAATGAAATATTGATTCAGCCCTCACTAGCAGAAACCCAGCTGGAAAAACTAGATCTAAGATCCCATGGCTCTAAGAAACCATAGTTTCCAACATAAATCAACTTGATATGGCACCTTTTGAATATCTCATTATTCAACATCGTCTCCAATATCTCCAGACACCCTATTCACAGTTATTCATTTAACATTACCATCTGACATGTATGCACTTGTGAAAAGGAAATACCGATTTTAGATTTAATTTTTTGTTCTGATATAAATTGGAATTATGATTCTAATGATATATATTGAAACACGGTATATGAGTCAGCCAAAACTTGAATCCATCATGTTAACTTTGTGGGGCTTAAATATGTGCTTATTTTTCTATTCAAGTATCTGGAATCCTTGGCCAGATTTTGTCTAAATTTTCTTTGATAATTGATTGTCACACTTGGCATAAGAGTCTATTCAAGCTAGCCTGGAGGTAAAAAGGGTCTAGTTCAAGAAAATATTCCATAATCTGTAAGTCCTTTCCATGAAAGATATTGGACTGAATAGCACTTTTTTTCCATTTCCTTTTTCTGGATGGTGTTCTGCTATTGATGCTGTGAGGAAGGTTGTTTTTACTTAATCCTTACAGAATCATCACTGGAAATAGTTCTATAGATCATCAAATGCAACTCACTTTGTATCATCTGTAGGAACCTTATGTAAAATATCCTCAACAAATGTCTAATTAACATCAGTTTGAACATATCCTTGAAGGGGAGTCCACCATCTCCTTAGTTAATTGATTCCATTATTAAACTGTTTTTGCTGTGAAGAAAATCTTCAACTGTTTTCCTTTAACTTTAGACATCCCATTTCCTGCAATCTGAGAAGATAGAGAACATATTGTATCTTTCTTCTGTGTGATATCCCTTCAGTTACCTGATATACAAAATCTCATAAATAAACAAGGGTTTATTTAATAATTGGACTAGCTCCAATATCAAGGTGCCAGTTTCAGCTGGGGAAGCAAGCATTCTCAGCAGTATTTAACCCCATTGTGCTTCCCGTCTTGAAATACTAAATTCTGTTTGTTTAAGACATTGCTGCCTTTCTGTTTTGAGGTTGTAATAATCAATTTTCTATGTAACATGCTTCCTAAAGCTAACTTGTGCTAAAGTTATGGTTTCTATGTCATTTTAAAGATGCTGCTTGCTCAAAAATCTGCCCACTTTGAAAATACTTAATGATGAAAATGTACATTGTGATGTAGAAAAGGTTTATGAAAAAATCTCGAAGTCAGAAACATTTGCAGCATTTTGTCAAGCTCAGATTCAAGAAATTGTATCACTCCACAAAAAAGCTACAACTAGATTGTAAGTATTTACAGTTAGTTTCAAGAATTTAATTTTCAAGGTTTTTGTTCCTTGATGCTTATTATTGACTGAACAATATATACATTGGAATAACAATATGGTAGAAAAGTGATGAAAGTCTATTAACTGATTCTGACATCTTTTAGAAATCTGATCAGATGGAAATACCCATCACAAGCTTACATGAAATTCAGTAATCTTTCTTCATTTCTACTGTTTTATGTTCACTAATCAATTAGAATTAATTACATGGATACTGAATTAAAGAATCCTAATGAAGGCTTGTGCATTCTGAACTGCTAAATCTAGAAGACTCCTAGATATTAGGAAATAGATGAGTTATACTTTTTTGCTAATATCTGGTAGTCATCAGGATTTTTGGGATCTAGTAACCCTACTTAAGAAGTTTAATTAGTGCAAAATATGTGTATAGGACAAAAGTAATACATGAAATGATGCAAAATAGCATGATATTATATTACATTTCAATAATATTGAAATATGTGCAACTACTATATGTTGCATATTATACATATGAAATACCTATGTGTTCAATTATATAAGTGCAACTGTACTGTGTCTGTATAGAGCACACATGGGCAAACGTACAGCTGTGAGAAAAAGTCCTGCATGCTTTACAATTTACGGTTTACGGTTTATAACATTTTTGGGATAGGCCATTGGTTTTATGATATTTTATGTTAACTGCTATGCAAATATTGTTATATTTAAATAAATACTGGTGGTTTTTAAGTGAAAAGCATAAACTTTTTGCAATTTGGGGCTATTTTGACGGGGTTTGTGAATTTTCTTGCATGCTTACAATGCATGCTTACAATGACTATGAAAACAGATTAACTGATGCATACCCAGTGGTATATGTGTTGCAATTACTAAGGCCAATGCTAGTGTTTTGTTAACATTTTTATTATTTGTGGTCCTGAAAAGGACCGTTTAGGTAACCAAATATGGTTACTAATATGAAATTGGCCAACCCTTATTGCTTATTACCAGGTGGCATCGCTTCAGCATAGACTATATATGCCTTTGCACATGATCTTTGGTGACAATGTGGTGCCAGGCTGCAATAATGGATTGAGTTAGCGCCTGCTTGGTCTTCAGATGCTTCTTGCTTATTTCATAACCAATCTTGGCCCACAAGTTCTTAATTGGGTTCAAATCCGGGCTCTGAGCTGGCCAGTCCAGGAGTTGAACACCATGCTTCTTCATCCACTGCTGGATGGACTTGGCTCGATGACAAGGAGCATTGTTATACTGGAAGTAAAAGTCCTTCCCTACAAGTTGCTGAGTTGAAGGAAACAGTCTTTTCCAGGACTTCATCATACTGCTTGGAATTCATGATTCCTTGCACGATTGGTATCCGAACAATACCAGAAGCAGTGATACAGCCCCAGATCTTCATGTGCAATGGATGCTTCACAGATAGATTCAGGCAGTACGGCTGGAAATTCTTCAGCTGGAAATTTTCTGACATACTTATTGCAGTCAAGTAGAAATAGCTCTTGTCACTGAAGATGATCTTGGTCCACTGTTTGTTGATCCACTTGGCATACTTCTTGGCCCATACACGTCGATGAGAGCGGTGAGCATCTGTGAGCAAAGGTTTACTTTGAGCCCTGCAGCCTTTGAGCCCTTTTACAAGCAGTCTGCGATGCACTGTGCTTGTGGACACTTTTACATCACCTGTTTCATCCCAAATTCTTGTAATCTGAGTTGAAGTGAACTTCCTGTCAACCATCAAAATACATTGCAGAGCCCGATCATGCCGTTTTGTCAACTTTCTTGGTCTTCCAAAACAGAGCCTGTCATCAACTGAACCAGTTATTTGGTATTTTTCAACCACTCTGCTCACTGTGGTGCAATGGCATTTCACTTTCTTGGCTATTTCTTTACAGGAGTAACTCTTTTCATGAAGCACAATGATGCAATGCCGCTGCTCAGTACTGGTGAAAGCAAAGGCCTTCATCCTTGCCCACAGCCAGAGCTAAATTAAATTTCTTGATGCTTTTCATGCCTATTTATAGTAAGAGAGTATGACAACATTGATTGGCTCATAGATTTAGCCTCTGTGCAGTTTGATTGGTCAGCCAAGGCTCACTGTTGATTGGCTACTTTTGATCCTAACATTCTCGAAAATTCAAGTTGTGTTTGTTTTAGCACATAAACTCACTCAAAACCTTAAAAAGACTTTGGTTATATTAATAAAAATTAATAACAATCCGACTACAGAAATTTTCATCAAAGTACTAATTTTGTGTGGTTTCTATGAGTGAAAAGTTGATTAATCGTGTAAATACAGCTTAAAACTGAAAGCATGCAGGACTTTTTCACACAGCTGTACAAAGTGAATGAAAACAGAAGTGCAATAATTGTTGAAATATCCATAAAGTAACTCATAAAGTGTTTACTTAAAACATTTCAGTCACCTTGTAATATCATCATTCTGCATAAGAATACTCATAGTTATAGATGGCAGAAACCATGGCTGTAAGGGTCAGGAAGAAGGCAATAGTCAGATAGAGGGAGTCTGAGCCTCAGGAAAGAATGTAATATGAATAAGTATCTCAGACTTATTCCACAAACCTTAGTTCACAAAAAGATAAATGGAGTGGGAAGAGAAGCTTATTCCGTTACTATAGCTTACAATGAAAATAGTACTGACTTACTTGGCATTGGTTTCCTAATCTGCTCTATCTTGAAGGACTGATGGTAGTAGATTTGAATTTCAATAAAGAAGGTGTTGCTTTATGTGGCAGTTCAGTAATCAGCTACCTATGTTTAAATTTATTTCAGTATTTTTTTTGAGATCATACCAGTGATATGTCCTACAAGAACTGCTTAAGTTTTTTTTAAATAACCTGAATTTTATAGTAGAATATATGTGTTAATTACAAATCATTGTGGTAAATGTATTGTATTTGGAAATTAGAAGAAGCACTTAACCAAAAATGTGACCAAGATTATTGCTGGTGTATTTTTTTCAAAAATGTACTCAAATTTGCTCTTAAAGAATTTAACAAAGATTAAGGCTGTGATCCTAAATAAAATAAATGGCAAAATATGGGTGTGTATATTTAAATGTGCTCACTGCCTTGACTTCTATAGTGTATAGTATATAAAAGGCAGGATATAAATATAACAATATCCACCTACCCCAGGTCTTTAGAAAGGACTTGATAGGTGAATAAAGTGCCCAATCCAGTTTAATCATCTGGCTGACTGTGCAATGAACCATAACAATCATAATCTAGATTTTAGAATTCAAACAGACAAGCACCCACCACATAATATCCAAGACTTATCTATTATTGATAAGAAAGACAGGTTAGTGGATGTTTTTGTACCTGGAGAAAATAACAAAATACAAAGATCTGCAAATAGAAATAGAATGACTTTGGCAAAAGAAAGCAATGATCATACCAATAGTAATAAATGCCTTTGATACAATCCCAAAATATCTGGAGCAGTCCTGAACACCATCAGCATTGACAAAATCACCATCAGTTAATTGCAAAAGGAGCTTTACCTGAAACAGCTGTGATGGTATTTTTAACACCATCAAACAACAACATCTGGCTATCCTAGGTCTTTGGAAAAGATTCAATAGGTGGATAAAAGTGTCAAATCCAGTATAAACATCTTGCTGATTATGCAAGAACAATATTAATAATTGCCTTCCATAGGGCATAATGGGATTTCCCCCCTAAAAAGAGTCCATAAGATTGTAACCTTGATATTATATTCCTAAAGTACAATATGAAACCTCACAAACATTTTGGCTGTTTGACATTTCATTAAATAAATGAGACCCTGTAGTAAGTAAGTAAGTAAGCTGCCACATATAATCATAGCCATGTTTACTAAATCATTTTTTAACACAGAGGTATATAGCTAAATGGGGATGTTCCATCCTGATTCCACATAAAGTGTGTTTGCTCTTGTTTAAAAATTACATGCTTTTTAAAATTATTCAGATCTAATAAAGGTCGGTCAGTTAATCTTCCGACACCTACTTGAAATCAGCTATGCAAAAATGTACTTCTGTTTCACTGTTTTGGCTTTCAACAGGCTTTGTACAGAGGGTTGGAAATAAAAGACCCTAATGGAAGCTGAAACCCTTTTAAAAAGTCACAGTTTAAACAGGTGAAAATGACATAAAAAGCATCTAAAAGGAATTGAAACTGAAGAAATATAAACATTAAAACTCTTTATGAAGTTTAAAGGCTTTTTACAAGAAAGAAGGAGCAGTAAGAATATTAGCAGATGCACCCAGTTATATAGAGTTACATAATATCACTGTATTGTTTATTTGTCAGGGCTTTTATTCTTGGTAGTGATATAACAGACATATGCTCCCTATGTGTGTGTGTCTCTCTCTCTCTTTCAACTGAATTTTCTTTTCTGCAAAGCATTCTACTCAGAAGACAATTATTTGACCCCTCTTAAGTTGGAGAACATAATATAGTAGATAGTATTTAAAATGTTTGTGCTTTCCTGTTAAATGAAGATATGTTGATTTGTTTGAAATAAAGTAATTATCTAATTCACATAAAAATAAATATATAATATTTAAATATTATATAATATATTTAATGCTCTAATTAAAAATCAAATAATATTTAATGCTAAATTTTATATCAGATCATGTTAATCATGACTGGAAATCAGTGACACCTAGGAAGGATATAAGAAAAAGAATCTCAGGCATCAGCAGCATTGTATCATCTCAATGCTTTTTTTCCTACAAGTGTTGTGATAGATGCCTCAAAGTTGGCAGAGTTTTCAATGAAGAGTTACAATGCCACTTTCAGAAGATTGATCAGAAAAGCAAGGTCTTTTCTAGATATTGTTAAAGCCTTACTTACTGGCCCACCAAAAAAAGCAATCTGGCTTGTCCAGATCTGGCTTGTCCAAGCTATAAAATTTATTTATTAAAGCTCTCTAGGGTGATACGGTATATATTTCACCAGGGTTGTATTTTAAGATAGGTTGATTTTTTATTATTATTATTTTAAGATATATTTAGAAAAAATTGTTAGCTAATATATATGTAATGCATTTTCATGTTATTAATCTTATAAACCATTTTGGGAGAACAGGATCCCTGAAATAAATAATAATGTTTTAACTATTTCTTTTCCAGAGATAAATTTTCTGAAGACTCTGTACAGCTCCAGTGTTGGTATTTTAAAAAACTGATGAAGCTTAGTATTGAACATCGTTATGCACATGAATATGGAGTTTTAAACATTACAAAGGTAGAAGAACCAAAAAAACAGGCAGATCATTTAACTCAAGACTTCATAGAGAAAAATAACTTCTTTACCTCAGGTGTAAAAGAAAATAAGCAGGACTCGTTTAATACGCCTAAAAGATGGATTACTTCTGGCCATACTCATGCTGAGTCAATTAACTCCTTCATGACAGTTCCAGAAACAGATGAAAATCAAGTATATAGACAAAAGTATACTCAATATTCTACAAATGACAGTGAGGAAAGCAATGCATTAATCAGTCCTAAGAGAAACAAATTCAACAGGCAAATTACAACCATTGAAAGAGGAAATTACCTTCAACATTTTGACAATTCACAAAAGTAAGATCAAAGGGTCAAACTTTTTTTATGAAAATATAACTGTATCTCTATGTAATCTTAAAGCAGACAACATCATCACTTAGTGCATATACTATACACCTACTTTGACAGCACATCAGTAATAATAGAAACATTTAAGCAGCACACCATCAGCCAGAAAAAAGCAACTACCGTATTACTTTCTAGTTCTACTCTTTCTCTAGTCTGTATAAATATAATTATACTAATTGTACTAAGAATATATCTATAAACATTAAGCTATGCAGTACATTGCAAATCATTCTTTCATAAAGCTTATTAACATAAACAAATCACCTGTCCTTGAAACATTTAGGAAGCTGAATCTCTTGATATATAGCAGGCTGGGGAATTCTGGGAATTGAAGTCCACATGTGTTAAACTTTCCAAGGTTGAGAAACACTGATGTATAGGACTGTTCCAAAGGCTATTTCTAGAATAATCACTTAGCTTTTTGGATGCTCCCAATGGAAGAGAAGTTTATATATGCATATACAGAAACCTAGAAAGTTTTTAAGATCATATTTCTCTGTCTTTCCTTCTGTTGCTTTCTTCTATCTCAGTACTACTTTCTTCTGTCCCAAAGTATTCTAAAAAACAGAATAGTCTCTAATCAACTGCTTTCTAATTCTTTTTGCCCTAGGTTCTTATAAATTTGACATCTGAATGAAATTAACTTTATAAATGACTGAAAGATTATTTTGAATTATTGAGACATTTTCGAAAGAAGTGAAATATGAAATAAATATAATTAATGAAACTGAGCAATATTCAGGAATTTTATCCACACAACAAATTCCAACCTCCAAAATATACTATATTATAGGGCAGTAGATTTATAATTGATTCAGTGACCTATTTTCATATAACTGCCAGATAACGAATTTATCAGTTTTAAAGGACTGTCTATTCTGTTGGCTACAGGGATGTTATGAAACTTATTTGTATTAAATCATTTCAAGAATTCTGCTTTACCAATAGTGGGACAAGAAAAACAAAAGTTTTTCTCAGTATTTTCTCTTCATTTTCTGTTTCTCAGTATTTCTCTGTAGTATATTGCCTCTTGTTTATTTGGTATTTTATTTAAAGCATTTTTACAAATATATAAATATCTGTCTTAGTTAAGCTATCTATGGTGAATTTGTGCTGATATGAATCTTACCAATTTTCATAAAGCACTTTTGAGAGATTTAAGTATCATAATATGAGTACTGTTGCACGCTGCTATTAGTCATTCTTCTGCTCCTCAACCGGAAGAACTCTCCTTGTCTCTATGAATGCCCTCTTTGTTATGTTCCTGGTAACACCTATCCCATAATGGTGAGCTGTGTAGTATCACTGTATCTGCTATCTTCCTAAGGTTGCTAGTGATATAAAACTACAGAAATTAAGCTAGTTGATTAGTGAAATAACATTTCTGACAAAGATAATTCGTGGGTATTAATTTGGACATTTTCAGGATACTGTGGGATAGGCTAGCAAGGCTACAATCTATAATCTGATAGTTGTGGAAAAACTATTATAAATACATTTGTGTATGTTTTCTTGCTCTTTGTGATAGTTCATGACAGAAAAATTGAATAGCAATTGTAAACTGTTTTGGATATATTTTGGCAACATCTTTTAAATTATGTCACAATTTCTCAAGATTTATTAAGAAAGGGTCCAATTTATTATTGCTGATGTATGCAAGTTGCTTTATGTTAAATCTGAGTTAAGGCCCCCTTACGTCAGTATTATCTCTATACTGATTAACAGCAACATTCTGAAATTTTCAAATGATTTTTTTCTCATTCATCTAGAAAGGCCAAGGTTTTAATGGGAGACAGCATGCATGAAACAGCACCAATAATCTTTCACTTTTGTATTTATTTATTTTAATTGAACATACTGTAGATTAATAGATTTTTCAAATGAGGATAGGAAGAAATGAATACACTTAGCCAAGATTTGGAGTTTACTTACTTAGTTGTTCAGGCATGTTTCAGGCACGACTTCCAATCAGATAATGAAAATTTTTCATACTTGAATTCAGTATTGCACAAGCGCTCCTGGAATGTAAGGTTTGTTTCCATAATTAAATATTTGAAGCTGGCTGCACATTAAAAATTAATCTGATGGTGATAACATCTAAAGCTTTCTTTTAGTTCTTATGAGTGAACATTGCATACAAAGCAGCTCCACCAAAATAGAATAGAAAATAATTTTAAGAAAAATATATATTAGTCTACTTTTTTTTTCTTGTACGTAAACCTATTTCATCAATAGTTAAAACACTGCAGAACTAAAAATCAAGGAAAATCTTTAAATCTTAAAGTGCAATCTTTTATCAGCCATAGAAAAGACAAACTGTTGTTTAATTCAGATCAAACAAATTCCCCTGATCAGTGAAAAGGAGGTGTTTTGCTGTCTCCTGGTCTAAACATATAGGTCACCCTGGATTCTACTTTATAGGTAACATACAAAATATTATGGTATATTCTTAACAGGAACTCTTGAAAATATTTTCTCGTTGGCCACTCAATTCATCTGGGATGGATAGAGCACAGATCTGCTCTCAGAAATGTCCTAACCTTTAAAACTTATGAACTGCTTTCAATTACCTTCCTGCCTTATACAGGTGAAACTCGAAAAATTAGAATATTGTGCAAAAGTTCATTTTAAAAAGTTCATTTTTTCAGTAATGCAACTTAAAAGGTGAAACTAATATATGAGATAGACTCATTACATGCAAAGCAAGATAGTTCAAGCCGTGATTTGTCATAATTGAGATGATTATGGCTTACAGCTCATGAAAACCCCAAATCCACAATCTCAGAAAATTAGAATATTGTGAAAAGGTTCAATATTCTAGGCTCAAAGTGTCCCACTCTAATCAGCTAATTAAGCCATAACACCTGCAAAGGGTTCCTGAGCCTTTAAATGGTCTCTCAGTCAAGTTCAGTGGGAATCACAATCATGGGAAAGACTGCTCATCTGACAGTTGTGCAGAAAACCATCAATGACACCCTCCATAAGGAGGGAAAGCCTCAAAAGGTACTTGCAAAAGAAGTTGGATGTTCCCAAAGTGCTGTATCAAAGTACATTAATAGAAAGTTATGTGGAAGGAAAAAGTATGGAAGAAAAAGGTACACAAGCAACAGGGATGACCGCAGCCTGGAGAGCATTGTCAGGAAAAAGCTATTCAAAAGTGTTGGGGACTTTCACAAGGAGTAGACTGAGGCTGGAATCAGTGCATCAAGAGCCACCACACACAGACGGATCCTGGACATGGGCTTCAAATGTCATATTCCTCTTTTCAAGCCACTCCTGAACAACAAACAACGTCAGAAGCATCTTACCTGGGCTAAAGAAAAACAGACCTGGTCTGTTGCTCAGTGGTCCAAAGTTCTCTTTTCTGATGATAGCAACTTTTGCATCTCATTTGGAAACCAAGGGCCCAGAGTCTGGAGGAAGAATGGAGAGGCACACACTGCAAGTTGCTTCAAGTCCAGTTTCCACAGTCTGTGTTGATTTGGGGAGCCATGTCATCTGCTGGTATTGGTCCACTGTGCTTCATGAAGTCCAGGGTCAACACAGCCATCTACCAGGAGATTTTGGAGCACTTCATGCTTTCTTCCGCAGACGAGCTTTATGGGGATGCTGACTTGGTTATCCAGCAGGACTTGGCACCTGCCCACACTGCCAAAAGCACCAAAACTGGTTCAATGACCATGGGATTACTACATGATACATGAGACTGAACAATGCAGAAGAGCTGAAGGCCACTGTTGAACCATCCTGGTCTTCCATAATGCCTCAGCAGTGCCACAGCCTGATAGATTCCATGCCACAATGAGGCAATAATTGCTGCAAAAGGGGCCCAAACCAAGTACTGAGTACATATGCATGCTTATACTTTTCAGAGGTCCGATATTGTTCTATGTACAATCCTTGTTTTATTGATTGCATGTAATATTCTAATTTTCTGAGATTGTGGATTTGGGGTTTTCATGAGCTGTAAGCCATAATCATCACAATTATGACACATCATGGCTTGAACTATCTTGCTTTGCATGTAATAAGTCTATCTCATATATTAGTTTCACTTTTTAAGCATTACTGAAATAAAGGAACTTTTGCACGATATTCTAATTTTTTGAGTTTCACCTGTAATTCACTGCTGAACAAAGAAAACCTTTGATGTAGTGGTTAAGATATCAGGCTAGAAAGCATAAGTTTTAGTCCCATCTAAGATGCAAAACCAGCTAGCTGAGTTTGTGTCATTTTTCTCATCCCTAGGAGGATGGCAAGAGGAGACCATTTCCAAAAAACGTTGTCATGTAAACTACAGGATCTAGTTAACATTGACTTGAAGGCACAGAGAAAAATGATCAGATCAGAGATCCTGAGTTGCATTTTAATACTTTATTTATTTATTTATTATTTTGTCAAGCGATTATAAGATTACAGGTATTATAGACATAGTTATGAGTACATGAAATGAATACATATAAGAAAAATAAAAAGAAACAATAGGACAGGGACAGTAGGCACGTTGGTGCACTTATGCATGCCCCTTACAGACCTCTTAGGAAAGGGGTGAGGTCAATAGTAGACAGTCTAAGGTTAAAATACTGTATTGCATTTTATGCTGCTGTAAACTGAAATGTAAATATTGGCCTTTTGGGGATTTTTCAGATTCAGTGAGTACATTCTATGCACGTTTGTATTGATATTTAGGCAGCAGGCTATTACAAATGCTATTTACTGAGTGATGCGAAAGTATACACTCAGCTTCTGCATTAGAAACAGAGATGAGCTTCAGGCCAGTAGTGAGAAAAATATACTTTTTTCTGATACTAGAATTAAAAACAAATCATCCTATGTGTTAATTTTTTCTAAATGTCTATGACCGAACAAGCTGTAAAAAATGTCCCATCAACTCTGGTTGATTCCTGGAGGCTGCCTGTGTAAAGGCTACCATTTGAATCTTTCCCAAACAATAATCTGTCATTCTTCCACAGATATTACAATGTTTTCTTCATTCCACCCATCCTTCTTATTTGTTATCTTCAGTTTTTTTCTACTAGAATAGTATTTCTAGCCTTTCATTCATTTACATCAAATGAATTTTTCCTTGTTGCCTCAAAAGAGTAGTTAGTCATTCAGGATCAATGATTAATTCTTCTTGCAGTTCATAATATCCATAGCAACTGTCTCCATATCCATAATTCAGAGTCATCTGTCTTACCTCGCTGATTCTTTCACAGATGGACATTTCCACTGGGGAAAAAAAATAGCGCTTTGAATATTCTGATTCTTGTTTTCATAGAAATTAACTACATTTGTTCTTCTCCATATAATTGTTTTCCTGATTACCTCACTAATATACTTCCATTTGTATTTGTTCTTGAGCCCAGAATTGCAAAACTAACCTTCATTTCTTTGGAATGTAAGCTGTAAGATCATTAAGCCTGCTATTTGCCATTACCTTAGTTTTAATATTTACAGACCATATTTTTCATTTTACTTTGTAATGTAGTCATTACCTTCATATAAAAATTGTATTATGTAAAATTATTAACACTGTAACTGCCAATTCCAATTCTAATGAGAGAATCAAATTATTACTAATAATTTCTCATTCTGATTTAAATTCTGATTCTACGTGTCCTATCTTCCAATTCTGACATATCATATTTAAATTTAAATAAATTTAACAGATATGAAGATAATATATATTCTTTCCTCATTCTGTTTTGGATTCCGCTTCCAACCTTCCCAGCAAAGATGATCCTACCAGGAACTGCCAAAATCACTCTCAGCATCAATAAGATTCTTATATATAGAAAAAGTTATCTCCTTAGAATGCATTTAACATGTATGGATTTAAAATTTGCAATACCAATTTATTTCTAATTAACAACTATTTTGTATGTGTAACATGCATCAACCTCCAATGTCAGCATCAACAGTTATTTGGCATTAAGCAAAATAGCATTATTGTAAAATCCCTGGAAAATAGTCTCATTAGCCTGCTTCATCCTCCCTACTTCTTTCTTCAATTCTGCATGAATTAATTCTCTAATATTAAAGCTTCCTTGCATTCAATAGTTTTCTCTCTTATGATAAGGAAGATTTTTTTCACAACACAGTATACATAGGGAAAAGGACTAAATTGAGCTTTTTGCCAGTGCTCAACTTGTCCTTGATTTCCAGTAAAGGCATGTTTATATTTCTTAGATCTAATCTTTTTTATTTGATCCCCAAATAGTATCCCATGTTCAAAAAAAACAGCAATATACAGTACAATTATTGGCACAGTTTATATTTTTAAAGTAATGGTTTTTTTCTTTTATTTATAGCTCAGCAGCCATAATTATCCAATCATGTTGGCGAGGTTATAGAGTTCGTAAAGAGATCAATTTTTATACAAGGCTACATCTGGCAGCAACTGTAATCCAGTCTGCTTGGCAGAGTTACTGCCTCAGAAGAAAGATTGTCAGCTGTGAAAAAAAGAATAATCATTTTTTGGATAAGCATAAAGCTGCTACTATACTTCAGGTTAGTGAACTAAGGTTGGTAACACGTGCCCTCTCACCTCTGTTTTGAGATCTCAGATAGCTAAATGGATTTAAAGGTATGTATTCAAAGAAATAGTAATTAGCTATTGAATTTATACAAACTGAAATATAAAGTTGCATTTATAGTAAGTCATTCTGGAAAGTTCTCCTATGGTCTTTCAGTAATACAAGTAATTGGCTTGTACAACTCAAGCCTCTCTTGAGTGATTCCTGATACGTTATTAGGGCATAAGAGCAAGCATCACCCACGGAGATATGTACAAACCAGAATCCTGAGTCATTTTGCTAATGTTAATCTTTAAAGTGTACAAACTCTTCTTTTATCATTGTTGCAACAGACTGCAAATTATCTTAAATGGCAACCCACTCCAGTATATTTGCCATGAAAACCTTATGGACAGTACCAAAAGGCAAAAAAGATATGACACTGGAAGATGAACCCTTCAGGTAGGAAGGTGTCCAATATGCAACTGGGGAAGAGCAGAGGACTAGTATTAGTAGTGCCAGAAAGAATGAAGTGACTGGGTCAAAGCTGAAAGGACGCTTAGCTGTGGATGTACACTACAGTATGTGGTAGTGAAAGGAAAGTCCAATGCTGTAAAGATCTATACTCCATAGAAACCTGGAATGTAAGATCCATGAACCAAGACAAGCTGGACATGGTCCAACAAGAGATGACAAGACTGAACATCGACATCTTAGGAATCAGTGAACTAAAATGGACAGGAATGTGTGGTTTTCCCAGTTGCAATGTATGGCTGTGAAAGTTGGACCATAAGGAAGGCTGAGTATCAAAGAATTGAGGCCTTTGAACTATAGTGCTGGAGAAGACTCTTGCGAGTCCCTTGGATTGCAAGGCGATCAAACTGGTCAGTCCTAGAGATCAAACCTGACTGCTCTTTAGAAGGCCAGATCCTGAAGATGAAATTCAAATACTTTGGCCACCTAATAAGAAAGAAAGACTCACTGGAGAAGAGCCTAATTCTGGGAATGGTTGAGGGCAAAAGAAGGGGACGGCAGAGAAGGAGGTGGCTGGATGGAGTCACTGAAGCAGTCGGCATGAGCTTAAATGGACTCCAGGGGGTGGTAGAGGACAGGAAGGCCTGGAGTAGTGTTGTCCATGGGGTCATGATGGGTCAGACATGACTATACAACTAACAACAACAAATCATATTCTATGCATACAAATATAAATCCATTATTACATATGGGTTTTTCATTGGTTATTTTATTGGTTATGAAGGAGCAGTTCTAACTGGCAGAGCAGTTCTGTCAGTGACAAGAACAGTAGAATGACAAATTCAATGTTTCATTTTTAATTTAATTTCCTAATATATTGGGCTTGAAATATTCTCAAATGCAGTCCCTGAGAGCTTTATGCTAGAAACAAATGATTAGATGGTGTGTATATATCTGTAGAGGCGTTATTATAAATATTTATTTATATATTATAAAATAAATATTTGCAGAAAAGTTTAAATGCATTGGATGTTTTACAAATATTTATTGGGAAGTTTATTTGAAAAGTGTACTAGCAGCAGAATTATTTAAATAAATAAAAAAGTAATAAAATTAATCCACTTATGGGATGTTTAGAGTAAGTCAGTATCTCCACATTGGCTTTGTTGTATTTTATTTTTCAGTGGAATGAATATACCTATACCTATACACATACATATGTACATACATACATACATACATACACACACAGACACACACACATATTTTTCTACACTCCTAGTAGGTCCTGAAGGAATTGTCATAATTAATTAGTTGACCTTGGTTTGTAGTTAAAGGAGTTTAGGATTCTATTCTGCTTGCTTGAGTCAAACCTCCAGAGTGTTCTCAGCTCTAGGCATATGCTGATATTTAATTTGTCTCCTAGTTTTAAATGTCACATAAAGTTCAAAAAACAGACCATTGAGCTATTGCTTAAGTAGAAAAAAAAGAGTCTAAAATGTTTTATCTTTCTAATGGGATAACAGAGAATCTGGATGTGTACTTGATCTATGGCCTCATATAGCATGCTTTACATTTTTGTTTAGGCACTTTGGAAAGGGTTTCGTTTGAGAAAGAAACTAGCCAGTGCTTTGGCAGCTGTTAAAACTGATGAAGTTGAGGATGACTATAAAGAAATTAATGTGGATGAATTTGTCTTTAATGAAGTAAGTAGGTAATGGGATACAAATTTTGATTAAAAGTTCTTTAGTTAGTAAAGTATTTCAAGTGCAAAAACATATAACATATTTAAGTCATCTTGTTTAAATAGCTAGAGAAATTACATTTCATATGTTTCTATATTTCATATATGGTCCTTGCTGTATCCTTCATTAAATCATGGTTCATTTTATTTATTTTCTCTAAACTACATCTAGTATTGTTACTCCTAACATAGTATAATTTATCTTAGCTTTTTTCATAAATAGGCTCATTCAAAAAAATTGTCTTTGGAACACAAATTTTACAGTGTCAGTGTCAATAATTTCAGTTTATAATTACTTAATCAGTGCATTTTAAAATATTAAAAAAACTAGACTGTTTGGAATAAAGTGTATTCTCTAGTTGAATTGCTCCAATTAGGAATATTTCAAAATTTATAACAGTATTGTTTATTTCATCTTTGTGAAAGTTATATAGAGCCATGTTATAATACTTAAATTTTAGACATTGAACTATTTGTTTCTTCAAACTGCTCTCTCTGTGAGTCCCAAAACTTTTAATATCCCAAACACTTAAAAGAGTTTTAGGATGTGCTGTATTTAGACACTGCTTTTTTGAAAGTCATCCTATTATGTAAAAAATAAGGTCTCTTTTGAGTCATCTTGCCTGTTGGTAACTTCATGAATATATCAATTTAGGATTTGTTTTGGGGTTTCTTAATAGTCTTTTATCTGTATACTAATCACAACCAACCCTGCTTACATTACTAAGATCAGCCAATGTTAGTCAGGTGGTGGTGTGTAGCTGTGCCTCCTTAATAACTGATTAACTAATTTTAACTACTGTTAAAAATCATTTAAATATTCAGAGAACTATACCTTAAAGAATGTGTTAATTATGTGTCAGCATTAACTTTCATCAGAACCAGTTTGATATAATGACTAAGGCATCAGGCTAGAACCTGAGTGTCTAGTCCTAGTCCCACCTTGGTCCAATCACTTTCTTTCAGCTCTAGGTAGGAGGCAAACCAATTCTGAAAAATCTTGCCAAGAAAATTGTAGGACTTGTCTAGGCAGTCTCCAAAAATTGGACAAGATTGAGCAGAAAAAAATATATTTTGTTTTTAAAAAGGATTTATACATCCAATTTCATACCTACTATCATTATTGTGCTTTAACTATTGTGATAATAAAATTGTAACATGTTATCAATACCATCTTCATTAAAAGTGTAAGAATTTTTTATATTTAATGAAGCAAACTGACATGTACAGAATCAGAAAATTTCTTATCTTCCAATAAGAATTTTCCTTGTCCATTCATATTTCTGATCTTCTTTATTACTTAATGTAATGTAATTTGTCAAGGAAAACCACTTGCTAGTTATTTCAGTGTGGTGGAAGGATTTAAAAAAATGCAAAGTATGTATATAATGTAAGGTCAGAGCTGTTTATGCATATGAGCTATCCTCATATAGATGTAACAATATACTATGACTTTAGATTTTTGGTCCCCTAAAAGTCTGGTGATTCTGGAGTGGGTTGCACTTTCCCAGACTGAGCTAGTATGCAATTTACGTTTCCTCCGAGACTCACAATCCTTCTTGTCTACCATACCAGGTGGCAAACTTTTTACTGCTTTTATAGACCTAAAGTCAGCATTTGACTCAGTCCCTAGGGGACTGTTGTGGTCAAAACTGCTCAAAAGTTCTATCGATAGACGTCTTCTGTTCCTAATTAGATCCTTGTACAACCAGACCTCTAGTCAGGTCAGGTGTGGTCTGCAGAGAGAACTTTCAAATCCTATACCGATTAAGAACGGAGTAAGGCAGGGTTGTGTTCTGGCTCTTCTTTTGTTTAATTTATTCTTATCTGACTTGGCCTTTCACATTGGACATATTGAGTCCCATGCCCCAAAGTTGTCAACTACAAAGATCCCACTTCTCCTTTATGCTGACGATGCGGCCCTCCTTTCATTGTCAAGGCCAGGTCTGAAAAGATGACTTTCTGCATTCAGGTCCTACTATGCTGAAAACCACTTGTCTATTAATTACGACAAATCTAAAGTATTGGTGTTCTCTAGAGCCCAGAAATTGTATAACTGGGCTATCAATGGTAATGCTGTTAAGCAGGTTTTCCATTTTAAGTATTTAGGTATTCAGTTTCAGTGCTTGGACTAGACATCGAACCCAGATGCTGAATTTGGCCTCCTGCAGTCACCAGCAGATTTTAAGATTTTTTTTATACCCAAGGAGGCCAGTTTATTCCTTCTGCTCTGTGTATTTATAAAGCCAAAACTTTGGCTCAAAATCTTTACGGAATTCCCATATGGATATGGGGCTTCAAGGATTGTATTGAAAGAACCCAGGCTGTCTTTTTTAGAAAACTTCTGGGTTTTCCTCCTTGTGTTGGTTTTGCTCTGATGTACCTGGAACTGGGCACTCGATCAGTCGAATGTATGGCATGGATTAACACCTTTAAATGGTGGTTTCGGGTGCTCTTTCTGGCAGTTCCTGGTAGCTACCTCTCCCTGGCGTTTGCTGACTCTCATATTTCTCGTTGGGAGAGGGAGCTGATGAAGAAATTACACCTGCTTTTACGGGGCATGCCCTGGGAGATTATGGCCTTAAGGACGCCCAATTTAGAGTAGTCCAACGGCTTGTGGACATTGACTTGCAATATCTACGAGCCAGAGCTAACAAAACTTGCTCCTCTGTGATCTTCAGCCAATTTAATAATTATGGACTGAGGATGGCTTCCTATTTTTACACTCTAACCATTCCCAAGTGTAGAAGAGCTTTCTCCCTAGCTCGCTTTAGTGTTTGCCCTAAGCACTACTGGATGGGCGATTTAAGAGGCTCCCGATTAATGAGCAGCTATGCCCCTGTGACAGAGCTGAGGTTGAAACTGTGGAGCATGTCCTTTTATATTGCCCTATGTATAACACAGGCAGATCTAAGTTACTGTCTCTCCTTAAAACAGACCCTTCTAGACCCAATGTTAGTAATTTGTTCTTATATTATCTAGGGGATGGCTCCTCCTATATCACTTCTTTGGTTTCCAAATTTTTTTAAGATCTGTAACCATCAGAGGAAAACACTGTAATTTCCCTTAGTCAAGTTTTTGGTGACCAATTGTTCATGATTAATTTTCCCACGTTCTTCTTTTGTTGTACTTGTGTTTTGGTCTGTGACCACAAATAAAGTATTATTATTATACAATCCTTCTTGATGAGCAGATGGCAGCCTTGGCTAGGAGGGGCCTTTGCACAGATTTATGCTGTGCACCAATTGCACCTTATCCTGGACCAGGAGGCCTTGCTTATGGTCTCTCATGCCTTAGACACCTCCTGAATTGATTCTTACAATGCAATTTGCATGGGGGGGGGGGGCGTTCACTTGAAGGCCACTTGCAAGTTATATGTGGTCCAGTACACAGTGGTGCACAGTATTGGGTGCCCATAGGTTTCTTCATATTATAAGTTTGTTGCATGAACTGTTGTATTGGCTCCCAGTTTTCTTCTGGGTACAATTCAAGGTGCAATTCATTGGATAGCACTATTAAAACTTGACATGCCATGGCATTAGCTCCGTTCCCTATAAAGAGCCACTTGTCCCACTAGATCTAAAAGGACAGGGATACTCCATGTCCTTTCCCTAAAATCTTACCATCTAGTAAGAGTTCAAAAGTGTGCCTTTTCCGTGGATGTCCCTACTTTGAGGGATGCCATTTTTCAGTGATTTAATAGGATCCCACTCTTCTAGCCTTTTGGAAGACCATTAAGACCTGGGTTTTTACTCAGGTGCCGGAATTATATGGAAAGAAAGCACTGAAGGAGGGTGTCTGAGTTGGCTGTGGGGCATGCCTAAGGGGACAATTATGGTGCACAGTTTATTGTTTTATTGATTTAACTATTGTTTCATATATTGGTTTTATGAGCATCATAAACTGCCCAGAGTTGCATAAAATTGGCAGCCATGTAAATCTTTTAAATAAATAAAGCAAAGCAGAGATGCATTTTCTGTGCCAAGAAAGCAGCTTAAAAGTTGATAAAACCAAACAATAAGTTGAAATGTTGTTGTACTTGGGTTTTATTGTCGTTGTTGTTATTATTATTTTGATCTTGTCTCTGTCTTCATTAGGAAAAAAAAAAGAAATTAAGAAAAAAATGGGGGGGTGGGGTGTATTTATTTCTGACACAGTAAAAACATGGAAGCTTTTCTCCCAGCAAGAGAAAGCATTATAAACCTGACCCAAATTCAGTTGCAGGTAAGAGAGTGCATTTAGGGAAAAGACTTTGGCTCAGGGTAATCAAAGTTCATCTGAGTGCCCAGAATAAATTTTCAAGGGTTACCTTGTCATTAGAAGTAATCAACAACCTAGGTTAGCAAAATGACATTCTCTGAGGCTGACCTTTGATTATTTTACAGACCTTTCATGTGATTAGCCATAATACAAAAGTAGCTTGCCAGAATATTTTTCAACTTCCCGATCAGTCAAGAGTCCTAGAATTCTCTGATAATGGCCCATTCAACATCAAGGACACCTAAATCTGCTTAATTTGTTAAGTCAATCACCACTAGCACTACCATCTGATATGTCAGCAATGTGATAGTGTTAATTTAGTTCTGCATCTTTTATACTTTTATTATTAATTAGGCTACTGGCTAAAAATATATATCTATCTAGAGGATCTTTTTCACCTAAACTGTGGGCAAATGTATTCTTTTCTGAAATTGCCAGGAGCCCTTTCCATACAGTGAATATCTATGTGGAAATCCTGAGCAGATGGAAAAACTTAAGTTACTATACTATGCTGTTTCAGCACCACCACTTTCAATATTTTTTTAAAGTCGTGCTGTACTTTATCAGAGTGCACTAAACATTCTGGTTTATGGGTTTCCGATTTGAGTGACTGATTTGGGAGGCTGTTGTAAATCCAGCATTGCCTGACTGGATGTGTTTGCTTCTATGCTTTGATAATAGTTGCTCAGCTTTTATGTTGTAAACAAACATTATTACAAACATATTTCTTGTCTCCAGTGCGCCTTCTTTTGAGATTACAATTTCAAAGATATAGCAAAGGTAATACATGGAGCTGTAACTTATTAGGTACTTCTTTGGTTTTAACAGAAAACGGAGAAAAGAAGATGGTATATGTACTTGAGGGAACACAATTGGAATTCTTTTAATGTAAATGGTCTGAAAAGTCAATAATTGCGATATTTCACAGCTGAAATTTTCAATTTATAAATTTTGAAACTAAATTTTAATTTCAAAAAGTAACAGTTGCATCAGGAAAAAATATTAAAACCTGCCCTTTTTTTTTGTCTATGGCGCCACAATGATTTGAGTTTCTGTTCAGAGGAAGGTAGAAAGGTGGGCCTCTATTTGCCTAGGAATATCTGTTCAATGTTAATTGAGACACTGCATCTTGGGGATTTTTTTGCTCTTTTTTACTCTATGCCTTCCACAATTGCAGTGTTCAAGTTTGGCAGCTGTATACATTCTTGAGAAAAACTAACTTATTAATTAATTCTCCAGATAGTGCTTCCATAAGAATCTTGTTTCACAAAATTCCACTGTGCAATTTTACATACAAACACATATAATATGCAGGAGATAATTTTCTGAGTTAAATCCGGTATTTGGCAACGTTTGAAGCTAAACATGAATGAAAAATAATTTAGAACCTAAATTATCTCCATTAGTATTACTATTAATCAACAGTAAGTTTTTAAGTATATCATTAATCCAAAACTATTCCTTATCGCTTCAAATTGTTTGGCTGTATGATGGGTGACAATTCTAATATATGATCCAGGAATACTGGAAAACTCAGGCAACATAGTTAAAATGCTACTTTATTAAAGTTATCAAAATGACTTTATATTGTCCTTGCACTATTAACTTCACTGCCTTTTTTTTAACCAGGCTGTCATTGAGAAAGAATGGCCAGCCTTGGATTCCAACTGCTTCCTTTCACAAACAGTGCTTTGCTCAGACCAGTTGCCCTCGCCAAAGGTAACATGTCACAGAAACTTTATTCATCTTTGGCCTTTGTTCATTCCTTTAGAAACGTGCTCTACTTGGTATGATTAATATCACAATTTATTGACTGAAGAAACATAATTACTTTTAGAAGTCTGTAACTTCCTCCTCATCCCCAGATATAATTTTTCATGTAGCTTTTCTTTGATTTGCTTAATTTTTTTCCCCTTTATTTTGGATTTCTTTCAACACTTTACTTCACAGTAGCAAAACAAAAAATGATATGTCTCAGCTGCACATTTGGCAGTGGATTAAAAATGGCTAGTTGACAAAGTGCTTTAAAAAAAACCCTTCAGTATACATTATATAGCAACAGCTGAAAGTTTTCAGAATATCTAAAAATCGTTGAACTGTAATATTTGTTAGTTACTTGATAAACTGAAGTGTAAACTTTCATTATATTTTCTGAAGTGTATCTTAACAATATGTGTACTGTATTCCCTCCAGTAGTCAGAGAATGATCATAAGCTGCAGAGTGTAGTGCTTCATACCATTAATTTTCCTCTTATGAAAGTAGTTAAGTTTTGCATCCTATTCTAAATCCATGCCCCAGAATGAATTTATTGATTTTAAGTGGGATTCCTATCCTAGTAAATGTACCATAAACTGGAATGAAAAATACTGCAAATGTGTTTAAAAATTAAATTCATGATCTAGAAGCAGTATAAACTGTGCAGTTTAAATCTGCTCCCACCATAGGTATATTGGGAAAATTTAGTGCATTCCAGCTCATGGTAAAATGACTGGATCCTGTTAAAGTCTGTGGCTGTAATCCAACAAAAGAGACTATGGGTATAAGAGAATGTTCCACAATGCCGGATGTTTCTTTGAAGTTTTCAGTTGGGCTGCTTCTACTGCTATAGAGGCCACTGTTTCATTAAAAATTTAAAATGCATCCTGTCTTTGCAAGATGCAGCTGTTATAAAAACCTCAAGCCTCTGACTTCACAGGGTCCTCTCTACACATAACTTACTTTATGTCAGGTCCTAAGAGAATAGTAAACAAAAACATCCTATTCTCATGCCATGCACTTTAGTATACTTACTTGCCTTGTCTTCCATGTACATTGTGCAATGTCTTGCAATTCTTCGTCTGTAGATTTACTATTGTGCAAAAAGTTTGTTCAACAGTGCTGCATATTCCTAAAACCATAATTTATAGGTGAAGAAATATTTCATATGAACCCAAAAAATTATATAGCAGGCTGCATTAATTATTAAATCCAGGTAAAGAAACTCCACCGCAAAAGAACAATGTGTTATGGAAATACGTTACAGTGTGAGGTTACTTTGAATGTAATCTGGAAGTTTCAGCTAATGAAAATATGTAATGGCTGATATATAAGTATTTTGACTATGTTACATAATTTGATCTGGCTGGCTGTGCATTTCTGTACCAAATTAAAAATCCTGCTTTGCTGTTGAGAATCTTTTTTGTATATGAGACTGCATATCTTAGAGGCCTCCTTTTGATTATATTCCCCATTAGGCTTATTATCTATTCCACCAATGCAAGCTCAATTTTTAGAAGCAGACTTTAAATAGGAATTGCCCCAAGGCAAGTGATTGCCCCCATTCTCACAATGTCACAACTCAAGAGCATTGCTACTTTTATTTCAGTTTCTGTTTCAACTGACTGATTCACTTAACTTTTGATTGACTTGAAATTACCTGTGTTGGCACTGGTTTTATTCTTAGACATAGCTGAAGCTTCATCTTTTTCTCTATTGTAGGTTATTTTATATTAGTATTTTTTTTCATTATTAATTTATTTGTAGACTATCTTGGCCTAAAGAAGCACCTTATAAAAATTTCAATAAATGAAAGTGGTACATAAATTAACTCTTCTTTCATATTTCATGTTCAGGCAAAAGTAAGATAATTATTTATTTTTAAAAATTCTTTCTTATCAAGTGTAACAAATCAACAGGAAGTGAAGACAGCTCATTTAATTTAAAATCACCTTCCCATAAAATGTGGCAGCTTAGGAAAATGACAACATTATCAGAAAACAGCGATGTTAGCAACTGGTAAGTTAAATAAATTGCTTTATTTGTTGCTCTTTGTAGTTATTTGCATACTGGCAACACCCAAGATGAACACTGGAAGAATAATTGAAAGCATCTGGATGCTTTGCTATTCTAAATTCTGTAAATAATTAAATTTAAAGCACATGTGTTCATAAGGAAAATGACACACACCAAATTCAGAATTTTAACTTTTCAAACTAAGCAGTTGACTTTTAAAGCCATCCTTTACTCATTTAAAGAAAAGCATAGCAGTACTAAACTCTCAAATCCTAAAATTTTAAGACAATAAAAATTATATAGAGTTTAAAAGAAAAATGTCTAACATAAAGAAAGCTTTACTATACCTTATATTTCATTGTAAAAAAATCTTGAGATATGTTTGGAGTACAAATATAAATATTTGATATAAACCTCAAACTTCTATTACTCTTCTATAAGCTTCTATAAGCTTTCCTGGAGCTTAGATTTTATTTCTTAACTTCAGAAGATAATGAAAATTTATAGCACAGCAAAAGCTGCAGAGATTTAAATCTTGTTGGACTAGCTTTTTAGTGTCTTGCTCTTGCTCTCCTCAGGTCAGGAAGAAGCAGTGCCTCACAACTTTCTGAGGCAAAGTCCTCCCAAAAATTATCATTACAATCTGAAAAGGAGGAAAAAATTTCAGAAGAATGGTATGTTTGGGTCATTATTTTCTTTTAAATTTATTTTATTTATTCATTTGATTTTTATAGCTGCCCATCTCAACAAAATTAGTCTGGGTGGCATACATCATAATACATAAAAATAATTTAAAAAACAATTAAAATAATTAAAATAGTACAAATAAATATACATGGCATCAAGCAAAACTGTTACTATGAATGTTAATATAGCCAGGAAATGGGACCCTTAAGACATTGGGGCCACTGACACACCTTGCAATAGGCCAACAGGCTCAGGGCCATCCTGATATCTGAAGGGAGAGGGTCTAAGTCCTAGCACAAGTCACTGCAGGAAACTTGCCGCAACCAACTCACCATGGCTAACTCACTGCAGGACAATTCAACATTGTATTAATCATTTAATTCAGTATTTTTGTTACTGGTGACCATGTTTTATTTCTTATAATTCTTATATTTCTGGATTGACTGTATTTATTTTATTATTGGCCATGGTTCCATCAAATTAATTTTGGGACAACCCGCTACAGCCAACTCACCACAGCCAAACTTGCTACAGGACAACTTGCCATGGGACAATTCAACAAATATAATAGGTAAATTAATTTAGCCATTAATGTGGTGAGTTGTCCCATTCCAGAAGAGAGAATATGCCAGAGGAGGGGAGCTACAGTGGAGAAGACATGTTTCCTGCTTCCCACTAGCCAACATTCCTTGGCTGACAGTGCCTGTAACATGCTCAACCTAGCTAATGACTAGTTTTTAACCATAAATAGTGATTTGAAAGTATACAGTAAGTTTAGATGACAGTTTTGCGCATGTTGACATTATGATATAAAATAATTCTGCCACTCTGCTCAGAGCTATTGTGTACTTCTTCATAAATGATAGCCAGAGCATTAGGTATTCTTTCATCAGAATTCCTAATGGTAACCATATTGTTAGGACATATGTGTATAGTTCTGATCTCTATGATTATAAAATATGTTCTGAATACCCATAAAATCAAAATTATGTTCTATAGGTTGCACTGCAATACATGCAGCAAAATCATGCATTTTGTTTCAGAATTAGGGAGAAATATATGGAACTCAAAAAGCCACATGAACCTTTTTTCTGTATATTTAACATTTTCTGTGCATGTCTTCTGGCCTTACGGTTCTTTGAAAAGACACTCCTGAAGATCAAAGACCTCCCAGTCAAGTTCAGTGTTTCAATAGGGTTGCTGTTAGCATTCAGAAGTTACTAGCCTGCATGATTATTAAACAAACACCTATGTTTGCATGTGGAGAATAACTGTTTCTTTTCTAGGGGTTTTAAAGACATTTCTACGGCACAGCTGATGCTAAAAAGAGCACATAAGATGAAAGCAAAGAAATATAATGCTAAAAAAGTTGGTAAGTACCTTTTAAATCTAATTATATAAATTATGCATATTACTTGTTTCTAAAAAACCTTATTTAAAATGAGCCTTTAGTATGATGGCATATACTAAGATGTTTAATAATAAAGAAAGTTCTGCTTAATTGATTTTAAAGACACTTTATATAGCTAAATTTTGGTATTGCATCCAGTTGCAATAGAAAGTTCAGCTCACAAAACTGAACAGAGAACAGCTTATATGACAACCTCACACAAATATTCCCCCCCTCAACTTAGTGATAGTCAGTATGATTATTTGTTGACTTTGAATATATAATTCTGTAGGCAATAATTAATTCTCAGTAGAATATGCTCTAGATATTCTAAGGTAATCCAAATATATACTTTTAATCTACCCAGAATTATAGAACTGAATGTTCTTCGTTGCTTTCTGAAGCTATACAGGTAGTTATAGTCCTGCTTCTTTATTGAAGCTATCTACTGTATTTTCAAATCATTTTTTACAATTTGTGTACTCAAAAGGGTATGTTTATGTTTTACTATTTTTAGAAATCCCAGTTAATTAATATAGAGCAGGGCTGTCATTTGCACGGATGCATCACATTTTAGCCACGCCCACATCCAGTTTAGCAAAGGGGTAAAAAGTCCTGATACATCACATGATGCCACCATGATGACGTGAGTTTGACACCTGACACTCCTGATATATAGGGTGATGGAAAAGTATTTAAGGACTGTCATAATCTAACCTTAAATATTTAACAATACAAATCAGCCATGATGTAATAACCCAAAATAGGATGTGGGATAATCACTATATATTATGGAAGTCTGGTGTTAGTTTGAGTATATATGGCGTGATTGATTGATTTAAAAAAAAAATTAAATGGTGTTATAAGGAAGAGCAATCAGACACCAAATAAATTTAAAAATCTTATATTTCTGTCACCTGAAAGTGATCTTGGTAACAGTACTGGTCAGCTTCAAGAGAACAGCAGCTGAAAACAAATTACAAATGGGAGCCAAAATGTAGGCTGATGGGGTGAGTTCTTATAGCTAGCAACAACAAGGTCTCGAAGTGGCTGTTCTAGTAGTTTCATTTAGCTCTGCTGATTCTTGATCCCCTCCTCAAAGTTGGATGTATGACCTCCCATGTGAGTGATGACAGTTTAGCACTCATGTAACTAGAGGGTTTTTTCTTTCCATTCATATGAATGCAGCAGAGATACCAGGGCTTAAAAAGGAAGTGAAAAAGGTGATGGTGCCATGGACTCAAGGGGGAAGAAGGGCAGTTTCACCAAGGTCATAACAGCAGAGTAAGATATGGTGGAAAGCTGAAGATGGGCTGCTCATAAGAATTATGGAACTGGTATTTGAGTCTTGTCCAAACTTGCAGCACTTCAGTGCACTCAACATTGAAGTCAGGTTATTGGACTCTGAATGCTGTGTTTGAAAACCAAGTTAATATGCAATAAGAACACTCTCATTTATAATCTAATTGGGGATAAGATAGTTGACCTGGAGTGCATAACAAAACCTGGACACACACACACCCCACTTATAGATACTGTTCTGACTCAGAACCAAGAAACAGACTCCTTATCCTGAAAAACCCCTCTTTATTTAGTTACTGTGAATTCATGGCATTCACACACAGAAAAGTCCCAGCAATAATTCTTCCAAGAGTTAAGTGCAAGAACAGACCTTATCAGTCCTTGGATAATTGCCAGGATGAGAGCTTTCAGTTGCAAAGCTGTAAATTAATTCCTGGCAATGAGTCTCCAAGGCACAAACCACGATAAGCAAATCTTCATAATAATAAGCAAAATAATTGTCTCCTGCAACCACCACTCCCCCTTTGCTTCTATTTATTCCTCATGGGAGGAGCTATTCAGCATCCACGTGTGCCTTCTGAGTTGGCCCCTGTTCCTTAGTTGTTCTCTTCTCCTGACAGCTCTGCACATATACACATCGGGAACAGGCTCCAGCTATTCTTCCCCACTTATCTCCAACTCCGAAGGCAGCTGGGAGATATTGGATGCTCCTGGCCCTATCTCTGCTTCCAATGCGGAGCATCCATTAGAGCCTTCTCCAGGCTCCAGGACTGACCCAAGTTCCTCCCCAACCTCTTCACTGTCCGAGTCAGAGCTGGCAGCTAGTGGGCCACAACGTCTGTTTTTTTGTGCCGGGGGGTGAATTGGCAGTGTTGTGGTCTGGGAGATAGCAATGGTTTGCAGAAACTCTGCTCTGTTCTCTATAGTCAATGAGTACATTGATAATACCAAATTTTACCCTCAGACCCAGGCTACCTGGGGAAGTATAGATGGGAAGAACAGACTGAAGAAGAGCCCTGAGAAGCCCTGTGGTTATTTGTATCTCCCAGGACCAGTGATATTCCTGAACAAATCTATGCTTCCTCCTTCAGAACTAGTGTGCAACTTGGCAGTGTTCTTGGACTCAGAGCTCCTGTTCAAGGAATAAGTGGTTACTGTAACCAGGATTTTGCATAAATATGTGTTTATGGGCCTTTACCTAGACCGGCAAGTCCTTTGGCCAGTCATGCTTTGATCAGCTTCAGTGTAGATTATTGCAATGAGCTCTATATGGGGCTGCTTTTGAAGACCATTCAAAAGCTGCAGCTGTCCAGAATACAACAACACGGGCAATTACAGGCAGGTTCATGTAACATCTATGCTTTCTGCACGGGCTTCCAGGTGCTGGTTGTTATTTATAACATCTTTATGGTGCCTGGTAGCTGAAGAAATGGCTGTCTCATAGTTCTCCCTGTTTTGTACAAACAGGCAGAGATGGACTGCTTCAGGTCCCATTAATTAAACATTGTTATCAGGCAGGACACAGAAAGCTTGTCTTTTCTATTTCAGTGTTTGTATCTCTGTGTGTATGCGTGTGTGTGTGTGTGTGTGTGTGTGTATGTATGTATATATGCATGTACGTATGTATGATTTTTTGACAACTGGGCTGTCATCTGGAACAATATTCCCCTAGAGATTCATTTGGCCTTCCACTGTGGCTTTCTTTAAAAGAGCCCTTAAAACTTGGCTTTCATCCCAATGACTTGGGCTAGAGTGGATAGCAAGCCCCTTGTGGCAGTTTTTAGAGATTTGTGTGGGTCTTTTTGTTTTATTGTTGTTGTTCTGTTTTGGATACTTGTCATTCTTTTGTCTATATTTTTAAATTGTTTTAATAATGTACATCTCCAAAGTCACAAGGGGATCGAATGAGCTTATTAATTGAATAAATGAATGAATGAAATACAATAATATTTCCATAATGAGTATTTTAAAAAGAATAAACGGTTCTTATACTAGATAATCATATTTCTTCTTGTGTTACCTATTATTGCTTTAATAGAGTTAGGGAAGTGTTTCATATTAATAATATTAATATCAATCTCCTGGTTCTAATTTTTTGGTCCTATAAAGCAAGTGGCTATAAAGTGCAAGTCCATTTCCTTAAATTATTCTGCTTTTTATACTAACTATACCATTTATTTATACTATAATTGGAAAATGTTGCTGTTAGTTGTTATATTCCAATTTCAAGTGTTTACTAAATCACGCTCATAGTTTGGCCCACTGTCAAGTGACTATACAGATAAACGCTCATCATCTTGACCTCTGCTCTGTTTTTTCAAATTTTTATATGTTTCTGCAAATTTATTCTATTCCTTCTTCTAAACCACAAAAGGCTGGGGGCGGGGTTGGGAAGGGGTTCATCAGTTGGCTGGAAAGAGATCAGGGAATAATTTATAAATCACAGGGAGTGATTTGTAATCATAATCCAGATGTGTCCTGAAAACTATTTGGATTTTTGGAAATCCAGCTTTTTCCTGTGGTTGGTTTGTTTAAACCTACTTTATGTTGTCTATTCTGATTACTGTAGACAATGTTGTCTTGTGTTGCTTGTCTTCTCATAATTTCTCAATTTCTCTTTTGTATAAATTAACTTTATCAAATCTTTTCATTTGCTAATTTTATATTCTAACCAAATTTCTTCCACACTATTCATTTAGGTATTCTGATAATACCCACTCTTTAATTTTCTAATTAAACTGTATATATAACAGTAGTAAATCATGTTCAGATCCACAAATTGTACCTAGAAATGTCTTCACTTATTGAATTGCACATCTTTGGTTTTCTGTTATGTACTTAATTTGATTCCTGTATTGTTCATCCAATGATGACCAAGTTTAGAATGTTCATTTATGTTACCTGAAGCAGATGAACAACCACAACACACTTAATAAAGTTATTTCCAGCATTATTTTATTTTTCTAATCCAACCTATTTGTAATTCCATGTCCCTCTATTGGCCTTACTTTTAGTTGTACATTTTTTCCAGATTTTGTAATATTCACTTCCTGTTCTTTACTATAGAGTTCATCAGGGTCTTTCACCATTGTGTCTGTAGTAATTACACAGACTTGTCAATATTCATCAGATATCTACTAATCTTGTCATTGATTGGATTATAGCAAAATATCACTGCCACTTTTCTTTATCATGTAATATTTAAAATGGCCCATTCTGGTTCACTTGATAATATGTTCCTAAAACATCTACTTCATTTCCATTTTGATATTTTCAAGATTTTCTTGTTTAATGCCTTTCATATTCTAAATTCCAGTTGTTTGTGTCCTCATAAATGAAATAATTCATGTTTCAATACAATTCATCCCATTGGTGACTAAATTTCCTTTCTGCTTTTATCTGGCTATGTCATTCACTCTACTCCAGTAACCAAAGAAATGCCTTCCCAATTGGAGATCTTTCCATCTGACACCCAAACTCCCCTAAATGTTACAATCATAAATGTACAGTTTCTTTGGCAATTATGAAGAAGTAATTTACTTATCCATCTTCTACGTTTGATTTTGAACTATTTTTCTGGAAGGATTGCTTTCTATTAACTCTTACAGAGACTTGTCTTGACTCCCCTTGCCCCTATTATAGCTTCATTGCTTCTTTTCAAACTTAGTAACAAGTGTAAC